GTCTGGAGGTGCTTTGGCTGTTGCTAACAAGGCAGATAGAAGAATGTTAGTCCCTGTCACAGACTGAATCTTTGTGTTGAATCTTAGCGGATAATGGTGCAGTTTCCGTTTTCTTCGTCTGGCAGCTAGACCTGAAGGGTGGCCCATCATAATCTCAGTTTTAGACAATAATCTTTCAGAAGGCACATTCCCGTAAAAGTAACTGACAGAATATTGTGTATAATACTTAACAGGTATTGGTATCAAACAGCACAATTACACAGTATCTAACAAAGACCTCACCAAATAAAGAACTCGGATCAGTAAGCATTAAATCTGTATAAACTAACACTGGGAGTTTATTAAACATGCATACTCTTTTTGTGTGGAGAGATGGAGGCGGTAGACAACCAAATATAATCACAATAGACAGGCTGGGGTGTACAATTTGATAATAGCTTGCACGAAGCAGGAGGCCTGGCCGCAAACAGCATGTGGATATTAGTCACCTCATAATAATGTCTGCCTTTATGTTCAATACTCGCCCATGCTTTTATGTATTTCCCTACAAATAAAAATAAATTAAATTGTGAAAAGCCATGTCAAATACTAAGCAACAACAACACAGAAAATTCGGTTAGGCTTTAGAGCGAATGATTTAAGTAAGCGATTTGTTTATTTCTAGGAGGTATTCAGACATTTACATTTAGGATATTCTACAGTGGGCAAAGATATTTTTATGCATTTAAATTTCTCTCTACTGTACAATGTGATTAACTAATTAAAGATTCGGATTAATTCTTGGTTTTGACAGATTACATCAGATGCCACATTAAATCAGTGGTGCAGTTTGTCTCCCTCTTCCTGTAATAATCAGTACTACATTGTCAAAAACGGATAGATATTATATTAAGAAACAGAGCAAAGGCAACACTATGCATACATTAATACTTTTACTTCAAGATGTTGTGGAACTTTCTCCCTTTCAATTATCCCTCGCCTGGGCCATTATCTCAAAAAGTTTAAAGACAACCAATACTGATCCTGCTCTTAAAAAAAGCAAAGTGTTGTGTAAATTATTAAAATGCTTCAACATTATTACCATGGCTCATATCTCAGTGAGCACACAGTTTGCTTGCTGCTGTAACAGGTGCACTGAGTATGCCATCTCCACTACCATTCATATTCCTCTTACAATAAAAAGGTAACCTGAGAACGCTGTTCCACTTCAGCTCAGCTTTTAACATGATTAAACAATCAGACAGGGCTTCACACCCTTGTTTACTTCTTGCTCGGAGTCCCAATGGTACACTTGAACTCCCACTTGCACTACAACTGTTACCTTCCTTGAACAAATATTGCATATACTCAGTGTCATTGCCTAATTAAACACTGTACACACTCTGTGTTGTGGCAGATACTTGACCTCTATATTTGCACATACACTCTTGCATATTAATATCCAAATGCATACACTCTAAAAAGGTACAAAGCTGTCACTGGATTGTACCCTAAGGTATTAAAGCAACATCTCTGCAGTCTGCCTCACATTAGTATTTTAAATATTACATATTAGTACATTTGAAAGGATACCACCCCTGGAAACCTTTTTCTGAAAGTGTATATTACCCTGGATATTTGTGACCCTGGATCACAAAACCAGTCATAAGTAGCATGGTTATACAATAGCCAACAATACATATTACATATCATGTATGTAATGTATGCAAGTCAAAATGATTTTTCTCTTATGCCAAAAATCATTAGAATATTAAGTAAAGATCATGTTCCATGAAGATATTTTATAAATTTCCTACACTTGCTGGGTAAAATATGGACAAACTTGGGTTGTTTTAGCCCAGCAGTTGGGTTAATGCCCAGAAGGTTGGGTTAAACATTTAACCCAACAGTTGGTTGAAAATAACCCAATCGCTGGGTTTGTCCATATTTTACCCAGTGCTGGGTTGTATTTAACCAGGCATTTTTTAGAGTGTACCATGAATATATCAAAACGTAATTTTTGATTAGCAATATGTATTGCTAAGAACTTCATTTGGACAACTTTAAAGGCGATTTTCTCACTTATGCCAAAAATCATTAGAATATTAAGTAAAGATCAAGTTCCATGAAGATATTTTATAAATTTCCTACACTTGCTGGGTAAAATATGGACAAACTTGGGTTGTTTTAGCCCAGCAGTTGGGTTAATGCCCAGAAGGTTGGGTTAAACATTTAACCCAACAGTTGGTTGAAAATAACCCAATCGCTGGGTTTGTCCATATTTTACCCAGTGCTGGGTTGTATTTAACCAGGCATTTTTTAGAGTGTACCATGATATGTATATCAAAACGTAATTTTTGATTAGCAATATGTATTGCTAAGAACTTCATTTGGACAACTTTAAAGGCGATTTTCTCAATATTTAGATTTTTTTTTTTTTTTTTTGCACCGTCAGATTCCACATTTTCAAATAGTTCTATCTCAGCCAAATATTGTCATATCCTAATAAACCATACATCAATGGAAAACTTTAAAAATATTGACCCTTATGACTGGTTTTGTGGTCGGTCTCGGTCTCTTTCTCTCTCTCTCTCACTCACTCACCACACACACACAGTTTTCATTAATGCTGTAAGGAAACAATCTTCATATCTTGAAATAATACTGTAATAGACTAAAAAGGATACTGAAACAAACATGTTGTACAGCAGGATGTAATATCTTAGGGTTATCACGTTAAAATGTTCATGTTATCCATAGCATATGTATTCTGACCTTCTTTCTAACGTACAGTATGAAAAAATATTATTTCAAGCACAGTAAATATTTACTGTATGTTGAATTTAAAGGGAAAGGGTGCACAGACTCAATGTTGTTTCATCAATTAGAACATCAAATGACCAAAATAACCACTCACGCTTTTACAATATACACATCAACACCAAAGTTTGTTAGTGGTTTATTTTAATGAGATTCTTAATAAGTTACTTAAATTATTTCAAGACTGTAAACAATTAATGTCACACAGTAACAAATGTCACGCAGTAAAATCTTATTGACATTAATCATTCACAACTATGACAATGCAGTTTTTTGCTGAATGTGAGTGTTGTGACAGGTGTACTAAAAAGAGCAAAAGTACACATTATCTACTGATTACTGCTTCCAGGATTTCCTGTTATAAAAAAAATTACTGATGAAGCAATGACCTGTTTTCTTTTACAGAAACTTGGAGCTTAAGGAAATATAATTAAGTCTTTTCAGGGTCAGCATACTGAAAGGGTGTAAAATGGCTTCATATTTCTCTATCTACTACAGAAAAAAACTGATTAGCATAACAGCTCTGTTGCATAACAACTTAACAGCCAAAAGGAAATATTATACTGTGTTTTCTAATACCCATGTAATGCTTTGATACCCTAACTATGTTTAATATTACACTGCTAATAGAGTTATTCATAGCAAGGCTAAAACTGGATATTTAAAAATCAAGGACCATGTAGAGTTATAAAAAGTTATTGTGCCTGGCGTTTTAGTCAGACAACTCTAGTCGCACTCAAATTCTAACTGCAACTCTCCAGAACCAGAAACTACACTGTCCACTGCGCGCATATATATATATATATATATATATATATATATATATATATATCATAAAAATAAATAAATAAATTGTGCGCTCCTATTGCCTCAACGTTTACGCCACTGCAGTCCTATTTGTAGGCCTAGTAGCTGAATCTCAAAAAAAAATAAAAAATCTAAATTAGATGTTGAATGTTTAAGGCCAAAAGGCTATTTCGCCATGGGTTCCCTCAGATTACTTATTGTGTTGTCATCTCATTAGAAACTTAGTTTTTTAATTCACGTTTGAGTTTTGTTTGTATGTAGCCTAATATTATATTGATTTTACTCATAAATTTAAAAAACCCAAATTCAAAGGGAACCCTTGGCTCCGACTGATATCTTACATAGCCTATTAACAGCTTCAATGGGCTATGCAGGGCCGTTTCTAGGCATAGGCGAGCTAGGCGGTCGCCTAGGGGGCCACCAGCTGAAGGGGCGCCAATGAGCGCACGTACGTTCATGGAGTCCATTTTTGGGTTTCATTTTTTAACCTAAACCCACACAACAATGACCCAAAACAGCAGTCTACAAAATCAGTCCCTATATTTACCTTAATCTCTCATGACATCTCCTTCGAGTCGTAACCCTCAATTTGTACTTCATACCTTTTCTACTCAAATTCCAGTAGAAATTTTGAATGCCCCCTTGAGTCAGAGCTCCAACTCAGAAACTCAAGAGGAATGGCAACAACTTTGACTACAGAATCCAAAATGGCTACTCAGCGCATCAACAGTAAGTCAAACTGGTTATTTGCACTTCTGTATGTCAGTGTCTCAAATTAACAATATGTATTTTTATGTGTTTTAATGACTGGTACTGCTAACAACAGATGCGTCCATTTTGGTTTTCCGACTTGTGTACTGGAGCACTGGCAAATCGGGTGTGAAGCCATTCCTAGCACCAACATCTAAAACAAATAGTACACAGACAAGGTGAGCCCTCAGACCCAAGCAGTTCATACACTCAACTACTTAGATCACTGAAGCCATAAATGGGCCACCTAAGACTCCTACACAAAACTGATCCTTCCAAAGTCTGAAGTTCAAGGTCATAAATGTCAGCACAAGTGATCTGTTCAAGCCTAAAAGCACATTACACAAAGGGAGATATGACATGGACAAACACACTAATGCATAGTTATCATCCAGAGCCAGCAAATTTACCATCAAAACATATGTTGTTCAAGGTCAAAACAAATACACTAAAAAGACAAAATTAAATAACTTTTCCTGAGACACAACAGAAACCACTTAAAGTTCCAAGTATTGTAACAAAAACAAACTATTAATTCAAATTTGGACAATATGTTTAATTCAAGAACATTTAAGGGCCATGTTTGAGCTGATTGTGCTGCCTGGCTCAGATGCAGTTAAGATGAATAATTTCGGTGGGGTTAGTGACAAACAATATGGTAGTCAAAAATAAAAAGGCAAATGTAAACACAAGGCTCCTGGTAAAATTATTCTTCATATCACCACCTTCGAATCATTTATTCTTATCACTGTTCAACAATGTGAAGCCTGTTGGGAAAAGGCAGAGGAAAACAGACCTTAAGTTGGATCATGAAGACATCAATGCAAAACTAAATTAATAAGTCAAGTATTACATAAGACAAAACCACTAATTTAATAACAGACTGAAAGTGAACTGATGATGGATTTCTGATGACAGGATGTTATGGTTTACCTTCCTTTGCCACACTCTCTGCTGCACTCTTGGCCTTTCCACTCAAGTCACTGACAACATTGTCGAATGCTGCTTCATGTTTGAGGAAGAAAGGTCTCACCACACGTGTGTATATGACCTGAGAGCCATTCCAGGAGACCGGAGCCATGCACCACAGCAGAAACAGGCACTGAAATACATATATGTCAGCTACACATTTGCTGCCATTGTGTTCAAAAATAAGATTTCCATTTCAAATAAATGCGGATCTTTTCCAAGCTGTTCTATTTTCTATTCAGATTTCGATTAAATAAACAAACTACATAACTTAAGCATGTATCACAGTTTCCAAAAAAAATTATAATGTTTAACTTTTTAAAATAGAAAATTATATTAAAAATGTAATTTCACCATTTCACATATTATTATTATTATTTAGTAACTACTTTATTTTAATGTAATTTAAGTGTAATTAATTAAAAATAAGTTAAATTAAATTCTTGGTCAGCATAAGACACTTTTAAAAACATTTAATTCAACCTTTTGAAAGGTAGTGTATAATATGTACAATATGATCAGAGTTCAAATGCTCTAAAATGTGGTAATATTAAAACACTGAGTTACAGAAAACAGTATTCAAATTAAGCTTTTAAAATATTTAATTAAAAAAAAATGTCTATTTGAAATGTAAACCACATTTAAGGCTTACGTCAACACATCTTATGTCAAATTCATGAAACATTAAGAATGAAATTCTTCTTAACTGCTATTTCCTTCCTACTTTCTTTTATGTTAAAAAAAAATGGTATTCCCAAAAATACCACTATAAAAAATGCTTATCTTTTCTCTTGTTCTTAAGACAAAAATTTTATAAAATTCAAATTCTTGAAATTAATCTTGTTAAAAATCATTGTAAATTAATTTTAAAAAAAATTTGTCATAAAATAGAGATATGATATTTTAGAAATTTACTGGGTTATTTCTTATTAATTGCTATAATTAAGCATTACAACGTAACACTACAATGCTTGTTACTATCACTAGTGATTTGCACCAGTTCTCTGAAGTGACACTGATGATTGAGAATGTAAACAGCAATAATCGATCATGATTATGAATGACAACTTTACTGATTTCAGAATTCAGTAACAAACAACTCTACAAAATAGTAACCTTAATCTTAGCATATAAATACAACAATTTTCAGCAACATTCATCATATTAGAGTGGCCATACACAGGACACATTCATTGTAGCAGCCCACAGAAACAAACACAGACACACACACACAGATACAACATGCAAGTTCTTCACCGAGAACCAATCATTTATGCCAAAGCCTGTGATTTTTTTCTTAAGAAAATTCCTAAGATGTTCTTAGGAAAATGGGAACTTCTTAAGAAATATTCATGAAGTACACTTAGGAACATTCTTGCAAGCGTCATGGAATTTCACTAAGAAATGTCAATCTATTTCTTAAGAAGATTTTTTGTGAATCCGGCCCCTGTAAACGATTCACTGTTTTTGTGCTCAAACAATCGCTTGGCCTTGACATACAATTCACCTATGTCAAACTAATCAATACATGCTTTATCATCTATTTTAAGCACATCCACATCAAACTCTCCCAATTTAATGGACTTATCATGCCATAGTGAACATCTAATTAAGAATGATTTTTAATTAGGACACTGAAATTGAAAAAAAAAAAAACATGCATATTTAAGATCTCAGCTCAACTAAGTCAGCTGCTAGTTCATGTATAAATTGGCTATAAAGCACTCAGTCAAATTTACAACAAGGTTCAAAATTGAAATGAGGCTGTTGGTCGAGTTGGCAGTTAGTCAGGCATACTAAATATACACTATGCAAAACCTCTCAGCATGACCTACATACCAATACATTTACAGTCCTAACTACAGCAAGCTAACATACAGCAAGGTGGATGGCTTCTAAAACAGATCTCCAAAATACATGCAAATACACTCAAAGAATAAAATAAATATATTTTGATACTAAAACACCTTACCTTCCCAGCATAGTAAAAGGGAAACCAAAAGAGGAAGATATCAGAGAAAAATTCAGCCACACTGAAGAGTCCATAAACCACCCAGTAGATTAGCCATTTGGTGTCATCTTCTTTATTGTTACTCTCAATGGCTTTGATGCTGTATGAGGAACAAAATGGCATGTGAAAACAGGCCAGTCAGTGTGGGTTGCTCTCATTATTGTGCTGTGCAAACACACGTGCGTTTCTCCAGGTCTAGCATCTGCACCAATACGCATACTAGACATTTGTGAAATTTGACATGTCATGCATACTTACGAGGCATACGCTGGGTATGCAAAACCAATCAAGTTGCAGAGAAGGGAGGCACCATATCCAAATAACAGATAGACTGCCACAATAGATACTGCACCTGCAGAATAAAGAGAGACACATGATCACTGCCATTATTCAAATGAAGAAGGGCATTTAGGAGCACTGATGACATTGTGTTTGGTGTCAGTTTTGACACCTAACAGGATGCAAGAAGCACAAACAAAGGCTGCCTATTTGTTTATATGTGAACATATGGAAAGATGTCTTAATTATGTAGACTAGCCACTGCAATTCTGCACAGGCACTTGAGGACATAGGCTACTACATGGTTAAAAATAACCCTTGGGAGTGGCTATTAGTAGAAGAAATTAGACCCTGAGAGATCTTGCAAGGAACAGCCACACCATACAATATAGATATTTTAGGTAACCAGTCAATGCAGTTGAATAATTGGACCCAATAACGCATCTGATAATGGCACTTGATAGATCATTTGCTTGATGCTTCTCAATCCAGCATGTGGTTTTTTGGTCTTAAAACAGAGCAATAACAGATAAACAGATGTAAATGCAACAGGGAAATGGCAGATAGCCCTCGGGGGTAAAAACTGATCGTGCGGCATCTGTTCTTGTCACACAGACACGCAAAGCAGAGTAATGTTTGATACATAAATGACTCCTTTTTAATTCGAAGCTCTTTGATGAATCGAGTGAACCGATTCTCAAAACCGGTCTACTCAACGAAACAACCTGAATCAGCTTCAACAATTCATCGACTCAAACTATGAAGCGTTTGTAAATAAAATCTTAATCTAAAACTTTAAGAAACAAGAATATGTCTCTACAATTGAATTTAGAGAACACAATAGCCTATACCAAGTCACGTCGGGGAATACAAAAGATCCGCTGAATCGTTGTTTTGTTCAGAACCCGCAATTTAAAAGAACCGATTCGAAGAAATGACTCAGACTTTCCTGGTCTTATCAGCATGACTCCCAGTGCCCTTTACACTCATTCGCAACATTTACCAAGTCTTTACATATGGGTGACACTAACTTAAGTCACGTATGAATAGAATAAACTCATACTTTTCTCAAGAAAATCAATAGCCTATTCAATTGTAATGTTTACAAAGAAAAACATTTCAACTCGCACAAGCCCAACAAAGCCTAACAGCTGATAGCCAATAGGCTACAGCTTAAATACATAGGTTAATGTATTCCTGACTAAATAATTAAAGCTGCTTCCAAACCAAAGATTAAAACCAGTCACGTACCTGTTGCAATGTACTGTTTCTGAACTCCAGTTTTTTCCTCTAAAACCGCTAGAAAATCCGTTACTACATTCTTCTGCTTAAAAAACGCTTCGTAGCGTTCAGTAACAGTATTTAACATTTTGTCCTTCCTCGTTTATAGTACAGCAGAATGCAGTGACCACTGCCAGAATTGTAAACTAGTTTTCCAAGCCAAGCAAACTAACACTTGCAGAAAGTTTGTCCCCTCGCAGCAGCACAGGACTGACTCATTACAGGCGGGCGCTACGCGGCTGCGCGCAAAGTCTACGGCGACCAATAGAAACTAATACAAATATATTATTCCGCCTCCCTCACAGGTGATTACGATTCTGTGGAAATGCTGCGTAGGAAGTTGTGCTGACTGAGAGCACGATAGCTTTGAAGGAAGGAGGCGTGTTGGAGAGCTTGTTGCATGCAAAGTAGGCAGTGTTCGAACTCGCCCCCTGGATCTTGTGTTCTGCAGTGAGGACCATCTCAACTAGAGTACTATCAATCTGACGATGCCTGCATGCCACTGGATCAGAGTGCTGTCAATTGCTGCCTGATTGTTGCATGCAAATTTTGCATTCGGAGTGCTCAACAACGCCATTAAATCAGTGGGCTCATTGGTTACTTTTATGCCACTGATCAAGCTTTTCTATGTAGTTTGGGGTAACAAAGGGCTTGACTGAAATAATAATGCAATAACTGACCCTTTAAATCAATGTTTCAAGAAACAACAACAAATTTTTTTAACAAAAAAACAGATAAAGACAAAAAAGTAGCCATTGACAATATGAATGAATGAATCATGCATTTATATAGCGCTTTATTGTGTATTGTTGGACACCCAAAGCGCTTTACAATCATGTGGGGGGGGTGGGTCTCTCCTCAACCGCCACCAGTGAGCAGCATTCACTTGGATGATGCGACGGCGCCAGTGCGCTCTCACCACACACCAGCTACAGGTGGAGAGGAGAGAGAGATAGAGCCAATCAAGTGGTTGGGGATATTAGGAGGCCATGATTGACAAAGGCCAGGGGGGCAATTTATCTATATCTAAACATGCATCCAAATCCAAATGTAATAAAATTAATTTATGTGTCAATTATGTGCAATGTCTTAGCTACTAGAGATTGTTACATATGGCTTATACAGCATCTAGTGGGAACACAATGATATTACAGATAATAAATTGTGCAAAATGTTTATCTTATCAGTCAACTTACAAATAATGCATTCAGATTTGTCAGAGTAACGACAATAATTTGTGGAACTCAATGCACTGAATCTCCACAAATTATTGTCGTTACTCTGACAACCAATTTGAATGTGACAAGCAACTGGTGTCTGAAAAGAATATACATATATGTATACATATAAATATATACATATACTGTATATATATATATATATATATATAAAAAAATTGGGGCGGGGGGGTTTCAATAGGGATTTCGCCTAGGGCGTCAAATTGGCTAGAAACGGCCCTGGGGCTATGTAAGACCATCCTACATATTGACAGATATTTGATATTGACGTTATGTAGGATTAATGTCAATATCAAAAATCTGTCAATATGCCACTAATCTTCAGTTTTTAAACACCTACTAACTGGGTTTCATAAAAACGTCTTGTTATGCACTTACAGGCGCATCTCAATAAATTAGAATGTCGTGGAAAAGTTCATTTATTTCAGTAATTCAACTCAAATTGTGAAACTCGTGTATTCAATAAATTCAGTGCACACAGACTGAAGTAGTTTAAGTCTTTGGTTCTTTTAATTGTGATGATTTTGGCTCACATTTAACAAAAACCCACCAATTCAACAAATCTATCTAAAACTATCTCAACAAATTAGAATATGGTGACATGCCAATCAGCTAATCAACTCAAAACACCTGCAAAGGTTTCCTGAGCCTTCAAAATTGTCTCTCAGTTTGGTTCACTAGGCTACACAATCATGGGGAAGACTGCTGATCTGACAGTTGTCCAGAAGACAATCATTGACACTCTTCACAAGGAGGGTAAGCCACAAACATTCATTGCCAAAGGAGCTGGCTGTTCACAGAGTGCTGTATCCAAGCATGTTCACAGAAAGTTGAGTGGAAGGAAAAAGTGTGGAAGAAAAAGATGCACAACCAACCGAGAGAACCGCAGCCTTATGAGGATTGTCAAGCAAAATTGATTCAAGAATTTGAGTGAACTTCACAAGGAATGGACTGAGGCTGGGGTCAAGGCATCAAGAGCCACCACACACAGACGTGTCAAGGAATCTGGCTACACTTGTTGTATTCCTCTTGTTAAGCCACTCCTGAACCACAGACAACGTCAGAGGCGTCTTACCTGGGCTAAGGAGAAGAAGAACTGGACAAAGACCCAGTGGTCCAAAGTCCTCTTTTCAGATGAGAGCAAGTTTTGTATTTCATTTGGAAACCAAAGTCCTAGAGTCTGGAGGAAGGGTGGAGAAGCTCATAACCCAAGTTGCTTGAAGTCCAGTGTTAAGTTTCCACAGTCTGTGATGATTTGGGGTGCAATGTCATCTGCTGGTGTTGGTCCATTGTGTTTTTTGAAAACCAACGTCACTGCACCCGTTTACCAAGACATTTTGGAGCACTTCATGCTTCCTTCTGCTGACCAGCTTTTTGAAGATGCTGATTTCATTTTCTAGCAGGATTCGGCACCTCCCCACACTGCCAAAAGCACCAAAAGTTGGTTAAATGACCATGGTGTTGGTGTGCTTGACTGGCCAGCAAACTCACAAGACCTGAACCCCATAGAGAATCTATGGGGTATTGTCAAGAGGAAAATGAGAAACAAGAGACCAAAAAATGCAGATGAGCTGAAGGCCACTGTCAAAGAAACCTGGGCTTCCATACCACCTGAGCAGTGCCACAAACTGATCACCTCCATGCCACGCCGAATTGAGGCAGTAATTAAAGCAAAAGGAGCCCCTACCAAGTATTGAGTACATGTACAGTAAATTAACATTACCATTAACATTAACATTTCCAGAAGGCCAACAATTCACTAAAAATGTTTTTTTTTATTGGTCTTATGAAGTATTCTAATTTGTTGAGATAGTGAATTGGTGGGTTTTTGTTAAATGTGAGCCAAAATCATCACAATTAAAAGAACCAAAGACTTAAACTCCGGCAGTCTGTGTGAAATAAATTTATTTA